GAAGCCAGTGGGAGCTATCGTTTTATTTTTCTTTTAGGGGCCACAATCATTACACGTTTATTTACTGCGTTTTGTGAATGCATGTTGAATGTATGTTGAACGCTAGTAATGGACATGTGCGCGGCCATGTCGATAGGTGAGATCGAAATTATAAATCCCTCACGAATATTAAGTCTGTTGCCTTCTGACGCCCGGCACCTATCCGGCTAATGTGCACTGTCATGTACTCAGCCTCAGCAGAGCATAGTACGGTGTATGTTAAGCTGGTTACGGGAACCGCCATAGCGTGGTCGCTGTCGCACGTTGGGTTAGACTTAACTGAGTCTCGGTCAAATGGATGGATGACTCAGAGGCAGTAAGTTGGGGTCATCAATGACAAGTCGGATGATTTTACTCACTCATCCAGCCAGGAGTTGGATCTTTATAATTTAATTGGAACTCTGTTCCTAACCAAAGTAGTCTGCTTGTAAGATGTGCCTCAGCCAATTACAAGTATGGTGAAAAGGTGTTCTGGTCCGGTTGTAGTAATATTGTTCGCCCAACACCAGACCAAGAGCTGAGAGCCCGGCTCATCAGTTGGAACTATGTTCCTAGCTAAATAGTTGTCTTGTGGAGTAACGCCCAAGCGGAACGCAAGATAATGAAATATGGATCTTGGCCCACTAGAGGTTTTGCCGGAAATCTCCGAATCAATATCGAGGGTTATTGATTTGTTAAAAATAGTGGGAGATAATTAATTAAAGGCCTAATTAATTATTAAACATGATAGATAACCTAGTTTGCAAAATTTTCAGTAGATGGCAAACAACAACAACCCTTTCAACCTGCGTTACATCCTGGAAAACAACAAGTTATCCGGGACCAACTTTCTTGACTGGGAGATGAACCTCCGGATCGTTCTTGACTGTGAGAGGAAACTCTACATCCTCGAAACGGATCCTCCCAAGACCCCTGATGCTGATGCTCGTGCGTTCGAACTCACTTCCTTCAAGAAGTATGAGGACGACGCGTGAGATGTAAAGTGTATCATTATGGCCAGTATGACCGCGGAGCTCCAAAGGCTCCACGCGGACATGGAAATGCGTCCTATGATACAATGCTTAAGAGACCTTTACCAGGGTCAGCCCCAAAACTCAGGAATTTACGTTATCGAAGTCAATATGTCTGATATCACCTCTTGGGTGATGGATACTGGATGTGGTTCTCACATCTGTACTTCTATGCAAAACTTGCAAGAATGTAGACAATTGACGGAGGGAGAGATACAACTAAAAGTCGGCAATGGCGCGCTCATCTATGCATTGGCCGTCGGAACCTATAGTTTATCTCTACCTAGTGGTCTTATATTGCATTTGAATAATTGTCTGTTTGTACCTAGTATGAGCAGAAACATCATTTCTGTATCCTGCCTTGACAAAGCAGGATTTTCGTTCGTTGTAAAAGACAAAACTCTTTCTGTCTTTAGAAATGAAATATTTTATGCAACTGCAAAAATGACCAACGGTCTCTATGTCCTCGACATGGATACCGCAGCATATAACGTGGATGTTAAGAGAAACAAACCTAAGAGTTTGAATCTCGCGTACCTATGGCATTGTCGTTTGGGCCACATTAATGAGAAATGCATATCTAAGTTACATCGCTCAGGTGTACTTGATTCATTTGACTTCCAGTCATATGATGTATGTAAGTCTTGTTTACTTGGTAAAATGACAAAGGCTCCATTCATCGGTCACGGTGAAAGGGCGAGTGACTTATTGGGCCTCATACACTCCGATGTCTGTGGTCCAATTAGCACTGTAGCTAGAGTTGGTTATTCTTACTTCGTTACATTTACTGACGACCTTAGTAGATTTGGATATGTGTATCTCATGAAAAACAAATCGGAATGCTTTGACAAATTCAAAGAATTCAAGAATGAAGTAGAAAAACAATTAGGCAAAAGTATTAAGACCCTCCGCTCGGATCGAGGAGGTGAATACTTAAGCCTGGAGTTCGATGACTATCTCCATGGGATTTTATCCCAACTCACTCCTCCGGAGACACCTCAGTTAAATGGAGTGTCTGAGAGGAGAAATCGGACTTTGCTAGACATGGTCCGGAGCATGATTAGTCTGACAACATTGCCAGAATCATTTTGGGGATGTGCATTGAAAACAGCAGCACACACACTCAACAGAGTTCCATCTAAAGCTGTCGAGAGCACACTATACGAACTATGGCGTGGGAGAAAACCGAGTTTCTCGTACTTTAAGATTTGGGGCTGTGAAGCTTATGTAAAACGTCTCATGACGTCTAGTAAGTTGAAGCATAAATCTGATAAAGTAATTTTTGTGGGATACCCCAAGGAAACTAGAGGGTATGAGTTCTATCATCCATCCGATAACAAAATTTTCGTTGCTCGGAATGGAACCTTCCTTGAAAGGGAGTTTCTTTCTGCTATCACTAGTGGGAGAAAGGTAGACCTCGAAGAAATTCGAGAACCACAAGAAGAAGTCCCGATAGTGTTGGAACCTGAGCAAAGAGATCAAGCAATTGAACCTCAAATTGCTCAAGATATACCACGTAGGTCAGACCGGATACGTAATCCTCCGGTCAGATATGGATTTCTCATGTCTGATGAAGGTGACGTCTTGTTGGTAGATCAAGGCGAACCAGAGACCTACCTCGAGGCAATTACATGCCCCGGATCCGATCTATTGCTCGAAGCCATGAAATCTGAAATGGAGTCTATGTACACAAACCAAGTCTGGACCTTGGTTGATGCGCCCGAAGGGGTAAAACCCATTGGGTAGAAGTGGGTCTTCAAAAAGAAGACAGACGTAGACGGGAAGGTTCATACCTTCAAAGCTAGATTGGTAGCAAAAGGTTATAGACAAATCCACGGAATTGACTATGATGAAACCTTTTCTCCAGTTGTTATGCTGAAATCCATTCGGATAATGCTTGCGATTGCAGCCTATTACGATTACGAAATTTGGCAGATGGACGTCAAGACGGCTTTCCTTAACGGGAACCT